GAGACCAAGTCAGTTCTATGGAAATACAAACAAGATGAAACAGCGATTTTCCCCCCAATTTCATCCCTTGTGAGAATATTTCAGGCCACCATTTTGTTGGATTTAGGAGTAAGAACTCATACAACTCTGAGGTTGGAAGACAGAAATTTTAAAGCTTTGAATGAACCTTGAAAACATTATGCTAAGTGAAAGAAATTAGTCAAAAAGGACCACATAATGTATTAATGTAATTCAATTTACGTGAAATATCCAGAACAGGTAAATTTATACAGACAGAAAAGAGGTTAGTTGTTGTCAGGGGCTGGGTAGAGGGGAGTGACTGCTAGTGGGTATGCAGTCTCTTTCTGAAGTGATAAAAATGTTCTAAAACTAGATTCTATGACAGTTGCAAACTCTGTGAGTATAATGAAAACCACTGAACACGACACTTTAAATTGGTGGATTGTATGTAAAATATATCTCAACAAAGCTATTAACAAAAAATTTACATATCTGATAACATTCACAACAGCATTGGCATGAAAGGTACAAGACAGTCCAGTCAACCCCACATAGCTTCCGTATAACGCCAAAATCCCTAAATCCCCGAGAGCCTGGCTTCCTGTTACAGAACTATATTCTTATAGCCACCGGTATCTCCCTTCCTCACTCACACCTGTCATCATCATCATTCATAATGTCTGCCTTCCCCTCCACAACATAAGCCCTGTGAGGGCTGAGGACAGAGACTGTGTGCTGACACAGTGCCATGGTCCTAGCACCTTGCACACAATCATCAGTAAATATCTGCAGCAGGAATTGATATATGTACATATGTAGTCTGTACATTTGTACGTATGAAGAAATGAATGAAATCATTGGTTTGGGGCAATTCAACCAATCAAGGTGATCTGTTCTAACTGTCCCTTAAATCTGTTCTCCAATTCTCCCACACTTGTGGCCACCCAGGTAGAGACATTTCCCAGCAGCCATTGCAGCTTTATGAGACCATATGACCATAATCTTACCAATTAAATGTCAAAGGATGTGATGTGTGCAATTTTTAACTCATTTGCTTCAAAGAAAATCGCTTACCTTGGACTTTGCTGTGCTTCAACCATGGAGATAAGGACAAAACCCCAAGGTAGGAGAGCACAAGAGGGAAAGAACCTGCCCAATCAAGCAAGACTGACCAAATTGTTATATGAAAGAAAGGTAAACTCGTATTTTATTTACGTCATTGTATGTTTCGGTTTCTATGCTCCATCAGCCTAGTTTTACCGTTACAAGCCAGGCATAGGTGTGTGTGGGGGGAGGGGGAGGGGGCGGGGGAGGGGGCAGAAGAGGAGAGGGTGGCAAGGGGAGGAATTGGGGCTAGAAGGAAAGATTCCAGTGCTTAACTATAGCTGCCTGAGTAGTGATTTAAGCCCGCATGGTCATCTGGTAGCTCAAGGAAGACACTCTTCCAATGTCCTTATAACAACTTCATGAATTAATAGGCACATAATTCAAATGCTGGATGCTACAAAGAGGTCATTTTGAATGGACCTAACTCAGAATATTGTTCTCATTAAGTAAATATTTACATCATATAAATATACGCTTTCCAAAGAACCAATGAATATATTTTAAATGGCTGAGTAGCCATTTATAGCTTTTTTGTAACCAAGAAATGATTTGAAATATGTAAGACACAATGAGTAGAGTCTATAAGGAAGCATTATAACTCTGACTCATTGATCTAACAAAAATACCTCAGATTGGGGATGGAAGAAAAATTGCAGTGACACAAAATGTGAAGCTTAAAGATGCCTGATGTTTAAAAATAACCATTTAATAATTATAATCTACATGGTCTTGATAATTATCATTGACTCCCAATGCCACTCAGAACTGAATACAAGATGATGAATTTTACAAATTGGATTTGAATTTTAAGTAAAAATGCATGTGGGTCAATTGTCAATGGTGGGGGTAAGCAGGGAGAAATTGATATATACATCTTTATTAAATCACCAAACCAAGAAGGCCATGATAGAATGGCATCAGTATAACTGTGACCAAAGCAAGTTATTTTTTTACCTCTAGTCTTCACAGTCTACTCTAGATAACCTTCGTAAATTACTTATCATCTATGGCACCACTTTCCTGGTCTGTAAAGTGGGGCTTATAACAATTGCCAGCCAGCTCTTGGGAATGCTGGCAACCAGACCCATTTTATAAAGTGCTCAGACCTACTTGAAAGAAAACTGTTATATCACTACCAAGTATGATGACTGTTATTTATGATTTTTCAGACCTTTGGATCTAAATTTAGAAAATAGTTTTATCTGATTTTCTGAATTTGCCTGACCACTTTAATGCACACGCCAGTTGTTCCCATAATGCCAGTGGAGACATGTTTACTTGCATCTATGCTGAGTGTTAATAATTCCTAGGTTTCATTTTTGGGCGTGGCATTAACTGAGAGGCTCCTGGCATCTGATATCTACATCCTTCTTGTAGTGTGGGAGATAGTGCTGGTCTCTTAACCATCACTGGATAACACGATCTTATTTCTGTTTAAGGTTTATTCACTGGGAAGAAACACTAACCATTCTATCCATTATATATATCTTTATTTAGATTTTATATTTTTAAAAGCCTTTTTCCCCTTATATATAAGAGATCAAGATATATAAGGATTAGTTTTTAAAGGATATTTGAGCTTGTTAAAAGGTAAAATACTACATGGAATTTATTATTTATTTGAGTTTATGCCTTAACTTATTTCTTTTAAAAAAAGTTTTTTAATGACAGTCAAAACACAGATGGAATTGATATTGTAGAAGAAAAAAGTTAAACAATAAAATGTTAACTGAGGGTAGAAAAAAAACTTATTTAAAAATATATCAACAAAAAGTTGAAGTTGAAAAAACTACATAGATTGAGCACAAACTCTTACTCTGAGCTTCCTAGCAGTCAAGTCAAAAATAAAAATTACATGAATTTGTTATTCAGTTTCCTTTGTGTCATAAAAGGAGGCATCAGAAGGACAGAATTTTTCTGCTCCTGAAATTTGAAAAGGGGCTCCTTATTTTCAGGATATTATATAATATAATACACCATGTCCTTGATAGTAATTATAAAGAAAGCATTTTTTTTCCTCCCCATGGACTACCTCTCTTAGTCAACACTCATGACAAATTCTGGAAACTTTTCCTTTTTAACCAAACTTGCCCTTGACTCATGATATTTTTAACTTTGAACAATATTACAGAATTGGGAAAAATCACATTGCACAAATTCAATCATGACCATTTTCGGGTCATGGGTGTAAGTGTGGACATTATAAAGACATCAAGTCAAAAGAAAAATCATTCATGCTTACAGATGATTCCAAAGAAAACCTACTAATAAAGCCTTATTTGGAGCTGTAAGGATAACATAACTCTCAAGCTGAATAACATTTCATCTGTTCTACCACTTTTCCAGCTTTGTTTAATCATAATTTTTAGCTGCACTAGAACCCTTTGCTAACAGCACAGGGGGAGTGAAATACCTGGCCTGGCTTTGCGTGAGGAATACCTTGGGTTGAGATCTCACCCTGAGAGCTGAGCAGGGGGGCTGTGGCAGAGACCGAATGGCCCACAAAACTGAAAATATTTACCGTGTGGTCCTTTACAAAGTTTGTAGATCTCTGGAATAGACTAGGGCCTTTTTTTTTTTTTTTTTACGATTAGGAAACTAAGTCTCCGCAAAGGGAAGTGCTTTGCTAAGAGTCATGCTATGACATGATCACTCCTTTCCATGCTGAAACATCTGAAAGAGACTGTCCTCTTTGCAGGACAATCAAGTGCTTCTCATAAAGGTTTAATTTAAACAACAAAGATGGTAAAATGGGACAAGTTGAATTTTTTGGCCCAAATCAAATGTGCCAAAACACAAGAATGCAAACAAATCCACACCTTTATAATGCGTTCTAGAACCCAAAGCTCTGGGTGAAATTTAAAACAAAAGTGATCTAAGAATCTTTCCATTATGACATTTCCACACAAAAGAAAGACCTTGTTCAACTAAAGAGTAAGAAGTCTGTATCTTACAAATTCACCAACTTTAATTTAGTAAGATCTGAGCAAAGGCTTCATGTAACCAGGCCAGCTGGTAACCTGTTTTAAAATAGACACAAATCTACTAAATTAAATGGAACTATTATTGGCCCAAATTCAAAAATAAAATGAAGATGCTACTTGAGAAACATAAGATGTTAAAATGGCCTGCAAGATTAACGGCTGTAAGATGACCGCTGCCCTCACAAGAGACGCTTCTGGAATCAAGTAAGTATGCAGCATCCATAACTATTTTAACCAGGGTGCTTTTTTGTCCCCCCTCCCAAAAGTGAATTGGAGCAAATTTAATTTAGCTTTAATTTATCAAGCTACATTAGTCTCTCTGATAACTTCTAATTTTAAAACCAACTACTCATTTGATTTTCAAGCAAGGTCAAGGGAACAAGGCAACCGAGTGCTGACATCACAGGGATATGCCCCACGCTGTTCAGCAGTTACATCAGTGTGGCATGTTGCTATGGTGCCTGACTGTTAATTTCTGAAAGAAGGTGATTATAAAGCGGCCAGATGAGCACCAATCGGATGACACCACCTCAGCTCAGAACACTGACAGGTGTTAATCTTGTTCACAGCAAGTTAATTTTATGAAATCACCATTTTTGTGATGTGAATATTCCTTTCTAACTTTAAACCTACCAAGTCAACAACACCCCCCACCCCCAAAAGAAAAGTTCTGCTTCAACAAAGGGAGGAAAAATTTGATATTTGGGGGAACATGTGACTCTGTGGGCCATTTCTTAAGGGCAATCTTCTCTTTAAAGACCTTCCAAAACACGTCGCATACATACTTACATGCAAATAAATACACATACATTCGATAAATATGTAAACCAGAAGAGAACGGAGTTAAGATGCCAAAAAAGTGACAGATTCGGCCCTAGATATAATCCCACTAATCATATCTGCATTTACCTTTTTTGGCTTCTGTAAAGCAATCTTCAGTTATAGTCACCTCAAAAGGTCACTTCTTACCCTGAAAACAAAAGAGAACATCAAAATCTGAATGTCTAGAGAAAGTAGCAACCACCTATGTGCCTGGGACACATGCAAGAAAAACAAAAGGACACAATTATGTTTAATGGCAAGTCATTTCAGAGTTAATACAAACAAGTCCCAAGACCTCCACTTATCCGGATCACATGCCTTTGAGCTATTCAAGACAACAAAAACAACTTAGATGGAAAAAGTAGAGGTGAAACATATCAAATTTTACATATGAAAATTTTCTCATCTTGTCCGAGTCTATCAATTTATTCTCACGTGGAATAATGCATGAGTCACAGGCCCTTGTTTTTGGAAACCAGACAGCTATGTGAACTTGTCTCTGTTTGGTTAACATCCACAACATCTCTAATTTCATTAAAGCAGAGGCTTATTCTGCCCCCTTCGGAAGAGTGTGAGTTCTTGTAGACAAGATGCTTTAAGCCACTCTGGACCTTTCCAAATGAATAAAAGCACCACGATTTTCAGTTTGGGAGTTGGTGAAAGCTGCTCACAGAATGTCTTCCACTTAGCATATAATCTACCAGATCAACTAAGTAACATAAAAATGGTTCGTGTCAGATGAAACAAACGATTGAAATCAAGCCTTCTAACACACAAAGGATGGAACATGTTTTATCCCACATCTACTATTGCATCTGTACATGCCCATATGCAAATCAGTGTACAGTCCTTTAAGAAACGTTACAAGCTGCCTCTTTCTGTCCATGCAACTGGGATCAACATATGGCACAAGCGAAAAGAAAAACATTTGTTTATTAATTTAGATCAAATTACCAACAGGGTACAGGATTCATTCCACATCAACTGACCAAATGCTCATTTAATTTTTTTAAGATGGTGAAATTATATCATTTTACTAAAATGCTCATGTTCTCTTGCTCACTCTTCAGAACAATATGTAATTTAGTGGTTTCAATTTTATACAGAATATAGCCCTGCTCCTCCCTCTGCCTTTGGCCCTTAATGTGGAAAGGCAAACATCACTGAGAAGAGTTAAATCTTATTTTTACTAGGGCTACAAATTTGAAAGTGGCACTTTGGTGTGTACTATCTTTAAGGAATTGATCTGAGGCCAATTTATGACATTTCCACAAGCAAGTATATGCAGATTCTTGCCATTAAGATTGGAAAGAAATGCAGGCTCTGAGTAAAATCATAATTTTCATGTTTACTCTAAGAGGAAATTGGAGGTTTTCACCATAAATGTTCACTATTTGGGTGGGGGAAAACCCTAGCTCTGGGGCTTAAAATTACTATTTTGCAATCTGCCCAAAACCTTTTTGTTTTTACACAAAACAATTCAAATTGAAAATGAAAATCGTGTGCTTTACTGCTGATTTGTGTCTCCAGTGGTGAGAAGTGTTAGGGAGCAAATGGTGGTAAGGGAACAGCAGTGATGACCGCAGCCATCAGGTAAGGTGGAGGGAGGTCTGCAAAGCAGCCCCGCTCCACACAGATCAGGGGAGCTCATGAGGTACAAGACACTGCAATAGTCTTACACACCAGAAATTTCCGTCTCCCCACCCATCCAATCTTAAATGGAAAGTAAGTGATTTCTGGCAGACCCTACTCCACTGAAGGCAAGAACACCCTTTCTCCCTCCTTTTTACTTGAAGTGTTCGCCAGTGAGTGTACTCTAAACTAATTTTCATGTTATCTACTGAGTTGTACCAATTTTTGCATGTTTGGCAATCAGATCTATATTAGACTTTGCAATGCAGATGAGATTGCTATCTTATAGGCCTGGCAAACAATTGGACCTTATTAATATTTAATTAAAAAGAAAACTGCTGAAAATGCCGATTTGGAACAAAGTTATCTCTTGCACTGTATTTAAACCTGCAGAACATCTTCAGGTCCGTCCTGGGCCTGTCGCTCCATTTCTCTCTGCCTAACACGGAATGTGCGTGACCAAAGAGCAAAAATATAAGAAGGGTCACCCTCACAGATTTTATAAGCGGAATTTTTTCCTGACGGGGAGAAAATTAATAACACCAAAATGATACAACTGACCCTCCAATTTATAATTAATCAATACAAAATTGGCTACATTTAATTTTTACTTAAACATAAAAAACTGGCAGTAGGATTCAAACCACATTTTCCTCCATTTCGGAGCTACATAAATTTTAATGCATATGCGTATCTGACCACTCATTAATTTATTTCTGTTGACTATAGTTTTTAGTATTATTGGCAAAGTAATATAAAAAATATTTTTCTAGCTTTGCTGAGAAATGATTAATAGTTCACTAGTTAAATTAAGTGAACTGTGTCCATATAATAGACAAGAAAAATAAGGCATAGTACTGGGGCCTGGTTTGCATCATTAGTAGCCTAGAAAAATCAGAAATCAACAACTAGGAGAAAAGTTTGCATTTCATTTGTTCCAAAGTATAAAATTTCTGTTTCCAAAATGTATTGGCTACTTTTTTATGCAATCACTTTTACTTATCAAATATATTAACTATTTACCTGAATGCTTACTGGCAGTACAAGCACCAAAACTAAAAATAAATGATTACATAAAGTTTTTCAGTTAAAGAAGATAAATGAAAAATATTCTCCTGCAGCCCACTTGTCGTCCTTTTAAAAAAAAAAAAATGCTGTGAGCATCTGAATTGAATTTCCCGCCCCCCTTTCTCTCTTTTTTAAGTTTCCTGTTGGGTTTTGGTTTTAAAAGTGAGCCAGGGATATTGTAAATAGAAATGACTTACTTTCCTTTATGCTACTCTCTCCACAGTTAGATCCCGTGAACGCTAGAATCTTCACTATCGTTTGCAACAGTGTCACTCACCGGAAGCTACGTGATGGCCATAAGGACCCTCATCCATCTATAGCTGAAACCCAGGACAGGAAACAATGCACCTTCCACTTCCTCTACCTTTCCAATCTCCCACCCCACTAGAAATTTTACTCTGAGGACCTCTTAGGTTACTCACTGTTTCAATGTCACACTTTCGATGGGCATATTTGCTCGTAATTTAATTTGTGTGATAAATACATAGTGCGAACTGGTATGGCCTATCTGGAACTGAGTTGCAGGTAAATGTGAGGTGTGACTTCATCTCACAAGATGGAAAATGAACAAGCTATGCTCTGTTTTTCCCATTAAAAGTATTTCCCCCTTTTCTTTCATGGCTGCTAAAGGAAATGATTTGCATCAGGAATTCTGCATTATATTTCATGTTATACAATTGTACGAAAGTGGCTCTGAAGGATGGCCAACATATTTCATTTCAACTTCAGTCCAACAAATGTTGGCTGAGAACTTACAGTGCGTCAGTGTCACTGGGTGTACAAGGACGGTCAGAGCCAGCTCCGGGCCCAGGGAAAAAGGGGGCAGTTTAGCAGCTCCTCTCGGGCTGGGGGAGCCCTTCTCTTCAAGAGCAGAAACAAGGCTCACACTTCCCATACGTCCAAACACTCCAATCAATGGCATATCCTTCCTTCATTTGAGAAAACAGAAGATCTAAATGGGCCAATTTCCAAGAGATTGCTGTCTCTTTAACTAGTGAATCTTACCTCATGTGGGCTTTTATGTCTGGTTTATCAAATTTCTTAGAAAAACAGAAGCACATCAACACAAATTTGACTAGCTGAAAAAGTCCAATACAAGGGTCACTTCATTTTCTGCACTCAAGACAAGAAAATCCACTCAGAAATCAACCCCAAAGTGCTTTTTCTCTGCTTCTAATAATTTCCAAATTGGCTACATTTTGAGTCAGGCTTACAAAAAGAAAAAGGAAAAAGGAAGGGAATGAAAAGAGAAAAGAAAGAAGAAAAGAAAAAGAAAAAAGAAAGAAGCAGGGAGAACAAAACAGGGATAAAAAGAAATCGTGCAGTCCAGCCTGTAGGGCCAGAGGCAACCGTGGACGTCACCCAGGCTTGCTGGTTCACAGCTAGAACGTTTCTCTGATTTCTCTCTATCAAAGAAATCTACCACTTTGGGTCCATCATTCCCCAACACCCCCTCCCATTGCTGCAAGAACTTCTTCCTCAGTCTCTGGGACCCTCACCAAATCATCGGACCTAACTTCGGGGTCCACCTAGTGAAAAAAATAAAAAAACTTGAACTAAAGTAAGCCGCATGGTCCAGGCAACCCCAGCAGAGGCGTACCAGGGCAACCACTTCAGGCCGCAGCCCCCCAGCAACCCCACACTGGCTCACTTCATTTGGGAAAAAAGCAGGCTCTCTTACCTTACAGAAAAGTAAAACTCTGGTCATGGTCATGTGAAAATATTTTACAGGTATCCTTTAACAGCCTTTAAATGTTGAAACCTACAAACAATATTTGCTATTTTCTCTTTGAAGTGCTAACAAAGCCTTTGTTTTAAATTTACCTTTAGTGAGCAATAAGAGTTAATAATCAAATCCATCCCAACCCCCACAAATGTTAAACAAAAAGATAAAAGAAATGCAAATAGCTATTGTCATGGAAAGTTAAAGTACCTGTCTGTATTTTTAAGTGAAAACTATTATCTCTATCAATCAAAATTTAAGAATACAATAGCGCTAATCACAGAAGGTGCTCTGACGGAGTTACTTTTCCTCATTAAAAAAAGTATTTTCCCCTTAAAAACAGTATAAAAGTCATATACTTACAATTAGATAGGGTATTTGTAATTTTATTATTAAAAACCTTCAGCAGCCTCACTGTTAATAAATGCTTCTAAGTCTCTAGACTGATTTGTACCCAAGAAGACCGAAGTCCCTACATATTTTAATAAGGTTGATAAAATTTTATTTAAATTCTCACTTTCCAACCTGCGGGGGAACAGCACACTCTTCTGTTGAAAAGAGTAACTCAAACTGAGGCAGCAGTTAACTGGTAATGACGCCTCCTTTTAGACCTTGGACACAATCCACAGTCCCTGAAATATCTTTACAGAGGACCTATCTTCCTGGATGGCTCATCCCTCCGAATTGTGGCATTTCATCTCTGAAATTTTAACACTCTAAAAGAA